GTGTTATTGGAGAAAGGGGAGGAGGAGGGGGGCAGCTAAAATAAAAGAGAGGCAAGAGCAGGAAACAGGAGAAAGTTCCGAAAGATGTAGAAGAGAAGAGATGGTGATAAGGGATTCGTGAAAGGGAAGACAGAGGAGGGAGAGAGAGGAGGAGAGAAGAAGCTAGACAGGTAAAAAGGGTCAGGATAAAAGAGAGAGAAATAAGGAACAGGCTGTGGAAGGAACAGCTTATGCTCACTGGTTATGAGTAATTGACGTAGAAGATTCAGTTAGTAATTAATCAACTCGTCGTCCGTTAAGGTCCCGACAATACCCCAGATGAATAACTCACCGTCCCGACAACAACTCGCACGTCCCGACAACAACTCGCCTTTCCGTTAACGGAACGGAACGGAACGGACAAGGTAACAGTATTCACCGCTCGGTCTAACGCCAACATTTTGAATTGACGCCAACATTTTGAATTGACGCCAACATTTTGAATTGGCGTTTGGCGAGTGGTGCGGCGAGGCCATGACAATCGTGGACGACAAAAAATGAATAACCACAAAAAAAAAAGGTCGAATCGTCTGCGAAAGAAAAATGTCGGAAGCGAGGAGGCACGGAACGGTGAAGTGCTGCTGGAATGGATTAAAAACCTCCAGAAAGAAAAAAAAAAAGGCGAGAAAAAAAGGGCGGGAAGGAAAAGGCGGGAAAATTGAAATGTAAGTTGAGACGAGAGATCGATGATGGCAGCAGGTTACGTAGTTTGATGGAACAAAGTGGTAGAGAACAGCAAAGAAAACCGTGGAAAACCAAAAACGAGAAAAGTCGTCATCGCAATGAATCCGCGGGTGAGCCACGGAATTAGAAAAGCGAGAGAGAGAGAGAGAGAGAGAGAGAGAGGATTACGCCTAAAGCCCCTCTCCCTCTCCCTCCCGCTCCCCTTTCATAGTCGCGAATAGCGTCCACAAGAGGGAAATCGAGAATGAGAGGCGACAAGGAGAAGAACAAGACAAGGAAGTCCGTGAGCACTGCGCCTACGCGCAGGCCACACCTCTACATTACATGGAATTGGCGGGAATTGACGGGAATTGGCGGGAATTGGCGGGAATTGGGCACTGCAGAGAATGTGGAAACTTTGACAAGAGAGGAAGTGATTTAGTAGCTCGTCAGAAAAGTTCAGAAAAGCAAATGGATGACGAATGGCAACGACAAAAAAAACAAAACGAAAAAACAAAACGGAATCACCACAACAGAGGCATCGGAGACGATCAGGGGACGCAAAAAGAGACACAGAGAGGAAGCGAGAGAGAGAGAGAAAGGGAGAGGGAGAGAGAGTGAGAGAGAGAGAAGAGAGAAGAGAGAAGAGAGAGAAGAGAAGAGAGAGAGAGAAGAGAGTGAGAGCTAAGACGAGAATGAAAGAAGGAAAAACTAAACAGCCTATGCTCTGTGAATTTGTTTATTTCGGCGATGTCGAAATTGAACGCTTACGTGACTGTTAAGATGGCAGTCGTCTCCAAAATATCAAAAACTTCATCTGACGACAGCCACACGGTATTTAACACCTACCGGTAGGACAAGGGAAATTCACGGTGTACGGGTGTCACCCTTCACGCAGGGGCCGTGGTAATCTTCATGCGCAGGGGCCATGCTGCTAATCTTCTCCGTATCGTTCCAATTTTAACGGATGTCCCGAAGGAGAAGGGAACCGAAATTTCAGGACTAGCAGCACGTTAAACAGAGACTACAAATCTGTTGCAAAACTGATTCAAAAGCGACCAGATGCAAGGAATCTACAGGCGATTGAAGGAGGCCGGAGGCGCGGTAGCCGCGCGGAAGTCGCGCTCACCACTGCGCGAACAACAATACTCCGAGACGGCCAGATGCAAGGAATCTACGGGGATGACGAGACGACAACAAAGAACATAACGAGAGCGGTGGTTAGAGGGAGGAGGAGGAGAAAAAAGGGCGGGAGAAGAGACGAAAAGGAGGAACACTAGAACATAAGAGGAACACTAGAACAGAAGGGCCGAAACAAAGGAAGCTCAGGGCGGCCGCACACTAGAACATAAGAGGAAAAAGGCGGGTAAACGGACGCGGAAGACTACATAAAGCGAGAAAAGAAGAGAGTACGAAAAGAAAAGACAAAAGGTGCGAGGAAGAACGAAGAGGGCGAGGAAAACAGGCAAGAGAAAAAACGGGAGCAGCAGTAGAAAAAATCGGCAGAAAAAGACCGCACAAAACGGAGATGACACGGACTTCAGGTGACAATTCAGCAGAAAAAGACGAACAAAAGTAACAAGGCAACAGGAAACTCAAGGGGAGACGAAACGGAGCGAGAAAGAATGGAAGCACGCAGATCCTAGCGACCGGCAGAGAAGAAAGATGGAGAAGAGAGAGTGCGAGAGAGAGAATGCGAGAGAGAGTGCGAGAGAGAGAGTGCGAGAGAGACTGAGAGAGAGAGTGCGAGAGAGAAAAGAGTGCAATAGAGAGACAGGATGCAAAGAGAAAAAGAGAGCGAGAGAGAAAAGAGCGAGAGAGAGCGAGAGAGGGAGAGGGAGAGAGAGAAAGAGCGAGAGAGGGAGAGAGGGAGAGAGGGAGAGGGAGAGGGAGAGAGGAAAGGAATGAAAAAAAGAGCGAGAGAGGGAGAGAGGGAGAGAGGGAGAGAGGGAGAGGGAGAGGGAGAGAGGAAAGGAATGAAAAAAAGAGCGAGAGAGGGAGAGAGGGAGGGAGAGGAAAGGGCTGTGGAATGGTGAGTGCTTACTCTCCCAAAACGTTCTGGCTCTCTGATTTCCGATCTCTTTCATGAGAGCGACTTCTTCAGCGCTCCATGCGTCCAGCGACACGCTCTTTGTTCTACTTATGTGCGCGCCTATGCTTCTATGAATCCCGAAGCAGCGGTCACAGAGAAACACCCCAAAAGTGACAGATGCATAACGCGGAAACAGAGCCCCGCATTCGGCGCAGCCTTCATTAGCAGGCAGCCTAAGCAGTTCTGACAAAATCTTTTGGTTCTTCGCTTGAAGCTTTAGGTCACTCTTGTGAGAGCCCCCCATCCTGACAGAACTACCGCCGCCCAAGCCACCACGAAGGCGACTGGAGATGAATGACAGCCGACGTCCCAGTGTCGCTAAATTACGAAAACCAATTCTTCTTCTTCCCCCCCCCTCCTCTCTCTCCTCCCCAATCCTTCCCCTCGCTACTACCCCCAGTCC